TGAATTCCTGGTAAGGATTTAATTTATTCAGACGTGGCCTCGCGAACTGATTCCCATGTGCGACTCGGATCTTTAAAAGCCCGGCTGCCGAGTCACAAAACAAACACTCCGCTCGGTATTAATTCTCGTTAGTGCCCTCCGTTGCAGGGATTACCGATTACTTTTCGAGAGAAAAGAGAGGAGAGAGGGGGAGTGAAGAAAAAAAAGAGGAAGAAAGAAGATGAAAGAGGGAAAGGAGGGAGAGGAAAAGGTGGAAAAAAAAAAAAACAAAGGCTTAAGATTAAGGGAGGGGGGCGGAAGAGGCTTCAAGAATTCGCATAAATTGGTCCGCATTCTGCGCGCGGTCCTCTCGCCGCGAGGAAAAATCTTTCTGGGGCGAAAGGAGGAAAAACAAAAAAAAAAATGGAGAAGAACGAAGGGCCGAAACGACGACTTGGAAACGTCGAGATATATTTCGCCCCGGATCTCAATAAAGCAACGGCCAATGCAATTCTTTCCCCTTTTTTTTTTTCCTTTTTTTTTGTTTTTCCTCCTTTCGCCCCAGAAAGATTTTTCCTCGCGGCGAGAGGACCGCGCGCAGAATGCGGATAAATTTATGCGAATTCTTGGATCATCTTCCGCCACCCTCGATTATTCTTAAGCTTTTGCATTTTTTTTTTTTTTTTATCTTATGCTTAAGATCGATCGATGCTATTAGAGCCGTCGATTATTACGTTCCGTGGATCGTTTGGATTAAAATATTTATTGGAAGTATTCGAGATTAATGCCGAGAATCTATTGATTTTTTCTTATTCTATTTTGTATACAATGTTAATATTACTTGGATATATCTATTACAAATATTCTTAATTCCAATCCAAGAAAAAAAAAATTGGTTACTTCTTAGAATATTCTCCTAAGTTATAATGAAATTTATAAATGAAAATTAAGTTCAATTGTTTCTTTGATCTTCTCTATCAAAATCTATTAATATTATTAAGAATGCCAAAAAGAAATAACTTCATTTCAAACAAATCCATACAACTTCGAACTTGGCATTATAAAAATCCCTCGACCAATTTCCACCTACTGAAATTCCCAATACAATTTATATTATTACAATATATTATAACAACACCATCAAAATCTCCCAATTAATTTCCAGCTACTGGAAGAATTATAAATTAAGCTCGATTTACTTTCTCTCTCTCTCCCTTCTTTATTCGATGTATCTCAAACAACTTCATTTCCAACCAAAACCCGTACAACGTGGCACCATCAAAAAATCGAGCGATCAATTTTCACGCAACACACGATATTAAAGGAGGAAAGATCGACGCGTATCATCGACTCGTAAAAGTCGGATTTTCTCACGCGTTCGACAATAAAGTAGACTATTTTAAAGGCGAGGTTTACACGGGCACGGTACGGCCGAAATTCTGATCGAGCGGACCGGTTGGCCTTTGCATTCTTGCGATTGAGAGCCTTCTGCAAGGGTGCACCGACACGCCTCGGGCGGTTCCCATTGCGTCGTCGCTTCAGACGCCGACACATTCGTTTCGCGGTGCAACATTGCAACGGGCTTATACGAGTCAACTGTAAACATGGGCCAACCGTTTCGATCCCCCCTTTGGACCCGTTTACGTGATCCGGAGAAGGATGACACGAGTGGGATATCGAGTGAAGGTTTCCTCTTTCGCTTTGGAAGAGGAGGCAAACAAGGTAGAAAATGAGAATTATCGCGATCGTTCGATAAATATGGTCCAATTGGGTGAATTTAATGAAATTGAGGGTCCGAGAGAGGAACCGAAGATGTCGAAACCGATGGATCGAAGGGATTTTTGTGAATGGGGAAAAGAGATGGGAGAGAAGGATTCCCTTCTGGAGAAAGAGAAGGATATTTTGTTGGGTCGAATGGTGAATGAAAATTTCAATCGTAATGCGGATGCATGCATACAGATTTGGTTAAATATTAGTTATTCCTGATAATATTTTTCCATATAAATTTTTTGAATATATCAAGATTTTATCATTTTATTTTTGTCGTATCTCTTCTCCGTCAATAAAGATTCTTATTTATAACGTGTTTTTCTGCTCTTAAATATTTTGACAAATATTTACTTTTTAAAAATTCGAACAAAAAATGAAGATGTGTATGGAATTATAAATACATAAGTAATGAACGAATTTTTACTATTATTCTTATAAAATATTCAATTATTACCTATTCACCTATTTCTTTGACTGACTATAATCTCACCTGTAATAATTATCTCTAATTCCATTCATCTGATCATCATCTTTCTACCGACCATTCGATAGAATGCGTTTCGTGTAGCATAAACTTGCAACCGGGATCACACATCTTCTCTTTCAATTCTCAACATTCATCTAACAAGTTCTTCTCGACGTAACGTTCTTGTTCAATTTTATCCCCTGTAAAGTTGATTTATCGATTTAAACACGATATCAGGATGATTTCTTTATATTGTTGTAATATTGTTCTATTCAATTAAATTCTATTATTGGGTTTGGAATTTTTATACGTTTATTCGAAACTTAACGTTTGTAACGTTGTTTGTAATATATGGTGGAATGTATGGTGTGAAATATTGATAATTTCTTTTAAACAATTTATATATATTTAAAATTTTCTTTCTAAAAATGTAAAAAAATGTGTAAGAAGTGCTATCATATATTTTCCATATAAAGTTCAAAGCATAAGAAATCAAAATTTTTATCAAATATCAAAATTAATTTAAAAATATACTAAAAATTATAAAATCTCAAAATCGAATTTAAAAGAAAATATCCTATACTTCCACAAAATTCAAAGCATCATTCATAATCAATCTAATATTTATCTAGACATACATTTAGACATACACAAATGCGGACTAAGGCACAAGCACAAGATGTATATAAACAATAACAAGATTACGGTAGTGTACAATGTCGAAGCATCTCGAACGTTTCTGCGATGAATCGCGAGTATATACGTAATGGTCGAGCACAGCACGTTGGGATCGCAGTGAATCACCTTGTGAAGGTGGGCCGCCGGTTCTCTTGGCTACTTCTGCCAGTGTATTCAGGTGCACACGCACTCCAATACATATATACACATTTACAAACACAAGCATACAACCACCAGCCGCATACCTTTCCCTCCTTCTTCTTGTCTCAAGCTAAACCACCTTCCCCACCCCTTTCGCTTAACCGCCTCCCGCAACCACCGCCTACCACTCACCTTTCTCTCCCTTTCTCCTATCCTGCTTTTCTCTCTTTCTCTCTCTCACCGTCCATGAGACTCCAGACCTTTAATCCAATCTGTGTAATAAGCGCTGCCCTTTAAAAACCGCGGAAACCCGCTGTGTGCGACGACCCTTTAGGCCAGGGATACACGAACGTGTTTTATACGCCGCGTGTTGTATGGTCGCGTATTTTCTTCCATCGAAGTAGAAATCGTGTATTTTAATGCAATCGACTATATTGCTATGTAATACGTTCAGATGCTACGTCTACATTGCTTTTGAGAGTTGTTCGTGAATGTATGTGTTTGATCGCTGCTTACAAATTTGTAAATTACGTTCGATGTTAGTGTAGATATTCTTGCGAACAGCCAATAGCGTTCAACGATTGGTCAGCGAATAATGCTGTGAAAATTATTCGTTAATGAATAACTTTATAGTATCTCGTGAATATTTTACAATAATCTAATCAGTATAAATACAGCATTAAATTCGTTAAAACACTTACTTGACATTCAAATACGTTCTAAACTTGCGAACGAGATTCTTTGAAGGTGTGTATTCATCGATAAATAATTGACGAAATTGCTCGAAAATGGTGTCCTTCGGTGTTCGAAACGTAGTTTACGAATTGTTAAGAATAATTCGCGAATAGCAATGTGAATCTAATATGACATATTACCACGCTGTTCGTTGTTCGCAGATGAATTCGCTGTAACTTATTTGCTGAAGTGTCCACACTGGCTGACGATCATGTTTCACGAACAATTTGCGAATAAGCAATATGGATGCGGTATGACACATGCGCTGTGGCACGCTCATGAAGCGCCACCTGTCGTATGTGAAAAACGAAACACGTTAGCAATATGATACAATGTTTGATTGTACAGATTTTCGATAATAAAGAAATTTTAGAAAGTTTTGAGAAAAAACACGTTGACAATATGATGTAATCGGTTTGATTGTACAGATTTTCGATAATGAAGAAATTTTATAAAGTTTTGAGAAGAAGGATTCTGTGAGATTATTTCGATACAATGATTATTATCGATTGATCGAAGTTTTAGAATCGAACGATTCGATAGAGAATCGAATAAGAGGATTTGGCAAAGTTTTTTAGTCGCATTCTTTTCGAGTAAGAATGAAGATGGAAGATGGTGGTGAGGCAAGGTTGGGATTTGGAGGTGTGCACGGTTGGTGAGGAATTTTTGGGGAGTGGTTATAGGTGTGGTGAATAGGTTTCAGCGAGAAGTGTTGTTTAGATGAGCAGAATTTTTAGATGTGATTACTTGTCGTAATTGATAAAGGCATTCATATTGGAAGCTTGACAGGAATCGTAACAGGTGAGAAATTTTTCTTTGGAATGTGTAACATTATAGGATTCTATATGTAAATATCAATTAACTTTTTATTTTTTCTATAATCCTGAAAAATAATTCAATTTTTAGATTTTCTACACTTAATATCTACATAAATAGAACAAATATAGAACATGTGTCAAGCTGATATAACGCAAAACAGTTTCACGAAAGCCAAACGAACTTCTTCCACTTAAGATAAATGAAAATAAATGAAAAGATATACATGTTTGAAAATCTACAAACAAATCTAGAAACATCAACAAGAACTTTCAAAACCAATCTCTTTCATTTCACTAAGATACTCAACTTCTACATAAATAGAAATATACATATACCGAGTAACAATTCTACAAATCCATAACCTCAAACCATAACCTATAAATCCAACACGACAGAAATCAAATAAAACATTTTTATATTCAATGTCTACACAAAGCATAAAAATAAAAATTTGAAAATATGTATTTACTTATAATTCTATAAAATCACAATCTTGAGCTTTAAAAACTCAACAACTTATATCCTGTATATAAATATATAAATAATTTGACTAATGATTCTTTAAAAATTCAATAATAAACACAAGCCAATCTTCAACGAAAAATCAAAAGTTAAAAAATTAGAAAAAACAAACCACACACATTTACGCAATAACAATTCTACAAATCTATCTAATCTCTTTCATACTAAATCAAAAAATACATGTGTGTGTTACCAGTTACGTTTTGAAAGGCGTTCATGTGCGCAATTGCAATGAAGGAAGAAGTAAACGAGCAGCCAAAGACGACGACGACGACGACGAAGAAGAGGAAGAAGAAGAAGAAGAAGAAGAAGGCATGAAAGAAAGGCCCGGGCCTGCTCGGGTGTTCGCAGACCCGATCCTCGGTGTCTTGGGACCCACCACGCCATAGGATGCCTCCTTCTCCGTCGGTCGGCGGCTCAGCATCCTTTAATATCTCTCGGCGGCCTCCTCTCGTCCAGCGTTTCCTCTTTGTCGCTCGTGTTCCTGTTCAGAGCCTCCCCTCCCGCCGGACAGGC